TAGCCTCCCTCCAATCCAGACCCGAGACGTCAGGAAGCTGCCGCGGATCGACGTATTCGGCCCCGATCCTGTAGCAGGCTTTGATCGTCTCATCGCTCAGGTCACAGTCCTTGGCCAAAGAACAAAATTTAACAGTAAAATCAAAAAGATCGCGGCTTTCCTGGGCCAGCGCCGCGATCTGTTCCCAACACATCCTGGAAGGGGAATCCCGGGAATCCGGGAATCCGGGAATCCGGGAATCCCGGGAATCCCGGGAATCCCGGGAATCCCGGGTTAAAGCCGGGACTGAACTAAAACTTGCTCGAGTGTGTGGCTTAAGCTGGGAACTCTGAACAACAATAATTAAACACTTGAAGTACTGTACTGTAGGTCCATAAAGTAAAACACAGGGGATCTGTAGAATGTCATCCAGAGGTTCAGAAGATAATCCTCAATAGTGAAGTAGGCACTCTTTGTCGACGTGGAGATACACTCCGCTTGTAATGACGTAGGTACTGGAAAGGCGAGAAGATACCTGTCCGTGAGTGAAGGGGAGCGGATTAAGAAGGTGACAGTGCTGCGGTAGGAAACGAGGAGGCCTCAGAAGCCGTGGGGGCTTGGATCGTGTGTGGTCCGGTCTTCTGTCACAACCACTGATGGACGAGGACACAAAGATAACAGTTAAACAGGCTTTATTTATACACTGATGCTAAACCCGGATACCGGGAGGCTTCAAGATCAGCACTGTTGAAATCAAGGGAACCAGAGTCTTTGAACAAATGCAGGAACAGAAACCATCTCTTGATACTTGAACAGGAAGAAGATTCAGAGATACATCAAACATAAACATTGACTCGCAGAACTCAGAACTTGGTTGCAGACACGTAGATACTCAGGACTTGCATATAGATTCGTAGATTCTCAGAACTTGGGTATAGATACAAAGATATTCAGAACTTGGACACTGCTACGTAGATAGTAGATACAGAGGTCCATTGATCCTCAGAACACAGAGAGGATGACTGGAGAATCCTCGAAAGCCACCACACACTGAAGCTGCTGAGATACACACACAAGAGTGATTAGTGATGAACTTGATAATACTTGCTGTGAGATCAGAGATATCCTGGAACCAGACTTGATGTATGTAAGCCAAGGAGTCACAGACGTCGAATGACGAGACCGGACACAGAGTGCAGGGTGAGTGAGGCTTATATCCAATACTGGTGTGTAGAGTAAGGTGATGAGGTGCAGGTGCTGTGAATTCGTAATTAGTGAGAGTGCGTGCAGGTGAGGATCAGGGGAAACCGTGACAATATACATCATTTTACATGAATATAGAACGTATTTATTTAGCTTACACATTAACGCAATCAGCAATCTTTCTCCAACAGTCTTCTCTTGCTTTGGCAGCAGAGACCGTATTGTTTCGAGCTTGTAATACATATTTAAATTCGTAATTTCGTAACATCGTAACATCGTAATTCTGAATGATTATCTCTTGCTCCTCCGCGGAAAAAATATATCGCTCTCGCTCTATCCATATCGAACGCGATTGGTTGTTCGGTGCTAACGTCACTTTGGTATGTGCACGCGCTCGTGGAGTAATCATAGCTTAAGATCAAAGCCTGAGTTGACAGAGAAAGTTGATGAGCTGCGTCATGGTACCAATAAAGCCTGATTGCATCGGTTTGGTTTTGTCAACTCAAAACTAATCCTGTAACTCCGAGTTTGTTCAGCTACCTTCATGGTACAGGCCCCTGGTTTATTCACTCACTCTTGCAGAAGTCTTGTGTGTGTCTCCACTGCATTTCTGAGTGCTGTCTTTGGTTTTTCATGTTCATGGGTTTTGACTTTCTGCCCAGCCCCTTTGTATATCTCTGTTTTGCCTCTGCCTGGACTCTGTTATTGTATGTACTGTTTGTCTGTTTTGAACTTAGCCTGTTTTTTTTGGATTACCCTAAAATAAACTATTGCATTTTGATCCTCAACTCCTGTGTCTCTGAGCAGTTCATGACAAGGATAGTCGTGTTCCTTATTTACTTACTAATTAAGACAGTCACTAGCTTTCCAATGTGAGTCACTGAATAAAAAGGGCTAATTTGTTCAGGAACGAAGCAAGTGACTGACTTTATAGCCGTTTCTCAAACAAAAGGCTGCATCCTAGTGAGTCTGCGTCTTTCTTAGACTAGATTAAGGCTGGTACACTGGAATCCTCTGCATTAAACACCAGCATGAGATTGTCTAGTAAGTCCGCAAAGCAACGTCAGAAATGTTTTCACGAAAAATAAATACATTTGGGGGAAATACTTTATATTAAATAATTTTACTATGACTTTCTATTAATGCAATACAATGAATGATGTGAAATGGTCTACCAGTGATTTACACCATGGGCATCTTTGGATTTGTTTTTCACAGGCAAAAACAATATGAATGAGGCATTTATATAGCACTTTCATATTTACTATTGTACACCCAAAGTGCTTTACAATCATATCAGGGAATCTCTCCTCAACACCACCAGTGTGAGCATCCACTTGGATGATGTGATGGCAGCCACAGTACAACGGCACCAATGCGCTCACCACACACCAGCACATACACCACAAAATATACAGTGGTCAACATTTGAAGTGGATCAAAACCTTTCATCTAAGTTATACATGAATTTTGAACATTACCCGTTCTTATCTTAGGACAACTTAGTCAACATTTTAAGTGTGTCAGTTTTAAATAGGGGTTATTGTGAGGTGTAAATGAGGATCCACTCTTGACAAATTATATTTTACTCAGCAACTGTCTGTAAACTCTTTTAGAAAACAGTGTGGTGGACTTGAGCATGTTTAAAGTTTTCACAAGAAAAATATAAATTGGATTACTTACAAAAATACAAAGTTACATTCCAACAAGTAATGTTACGTCGGTTATTGGCCCACACAAAAGAGCAACTCTGCACCTACTTTTATGTAGACTTGGTGTATAGTTAGCAAATATGCACTGTGTTTACATGAATTGTAAACATCAAGCCAAGCAACTGTTAGACTGACAGTCAGATTTGACATCTTGAACAGTTTTGCTATGGCAAGGCAATAACTATGACAATAAGCAGCTACTGGAACTGACTAATTGCCTACCGTTTTACTGTCTTAAAGGTGCCCTAGAATGTTTTTTTTTATTATTTTATAATGTTTCCTGGGTTGCCCTTATAATGTTAGTATGTTTTTTAGATCAAAAATAATCATAATTTAGAAATAAATGGCATTTTTCCTAGCCTGCTTTTAGCCTCTGATTTGAACACTCTGTTTGAAGGGGCGTGTCTGCTGTGGGATTCAGTGTAACCGCGGCCACTGCTGTGATTGGCTGTGGGATTCAGTGTAACCGCGGCCACTGCTGTGATTGGCTGTGGGATTCAGTGTAACCGCGGCCACTGCTGTGATTGGCTGACATGCTTGCATATGAAATAGCAACGCATTACATGTGAAACTCTCTCCCGAATACTTTTACTACTGCTATTATACGTTTTTACTATAACAGCTATCGAGATTAACGAATCGTGAGATGTTTTTAAAGTATTTAGATCTATTCCCATCACATAAAATGTTGCCGTGATGAGCATTGAGCAGATGACAGTGTGTTGATCGCGAGAATGAAGATCTTATCATTGCAAAGCAGTTTCTGCACTCTCTCTAATGCTTTCACCAATGCAAACACGATGATGTAAATACAGTAAGAGCTTCGTTGTGCAGTGTAACGTGCGTCATTGATTTCATAACGAGTTTGGCAAGTGTCCAGATAAACTCGCGCTGTGTGGAAAGATTGTTCTTTGATCGCTTTCTGTATATAATTTGTTCACAATTTAAATACAATTATTTTCATCCTACTAAAAGAAACGATGTGAAGCTGATATTTTAGTCACTGGCTTGACTTACTGATGCATAAACAGTATTGAACGATTTTGAGAGAAAGATTACCTGTCTGAACTCGAACAATTACACATCAGAAAGTGTTGCTTGTTAGCTCGATCCGAGGACAGCTCTGTATTGGCCCAAGTTGAGGAAACAGTCTTCGGTGAAATGTTTGGAAATTTCCAGAGAAAATAAAATTAACCCATTGTTTCTTCAGAGGCCCAGATGAAGGAACTAAAAAATACTTTTGTGTTCATGTGTACATCCACACTGAGCAACTGCCATGCTTCGGCTGCGCAGTTCCGCCTGGCAGTGAGGGCTGGCATTATGCAAATATTTGGAGGCGTACATATTAATGATCCCGACTATGCGTCAGAGTCGGTATTGTGTGGAGAACCGACCGTTTTTCAGGGGTGTTTTTCATAAACGTGAATTAAATGAGAACGCGAAAACAGTCCAGTTTGAGATTCACTCTATGTCATGTCCATGCACTGAACTCTTGTTATTTGACTATACCAAGGTAAATTCAATTTTGAATTATAGGTCACCTTTAAGGACTGTTCCTCAGGTGCATGTGCAAATATTTGCACTACAAATTGTGCATGAATAACTTGAGAAAAAAAGAAAAAACCTATTCTGGGGTGTTATTTATACACAGAAAATACTCCCAGAATCCATAAAACTTGGGTACCACCATACCTCTTGATCAAGCATACAGACTCAAGATTTTCATTTCCTATGTTTATTAACAAGTACATCAACAAGATCCCCTTACAATTTTACAAAAAAGAAAACCAATTATAATAAATAAGAATTATTGGGGATCACATACCATAGACTGAAGTTTATCTACTCCATTTAAATGCATATCTTTGTACAACCAAATAACTGGCCATACATACAAATAAAAGTGCTATCCCAAATCAAATGCAAAACAAATCCCAGATAGATTCAGGTGCATTTACATGGTTAAGTAGCAGGGTTCTTCACATACAAGAAACAAAGGAAAAAGGCCATTTTAATGTCAAATTAAAAGTAATCAATGCAGCCATTTTTTTTTTTACAAGCGGTGGTTGTTTGATGGAGAAAATTCAAGTAATATTAGCCACTGAAGATTTTGGCCACTGGAAATCAAACTCGTAGACAAGACCAAGTCACCCAGAGGAAGGCAAAACGCATCTGGAGGAAAGAGGTATGAATGAAGAGCAAGATTAATCCATAGAAGTAGCCATTCACTTACAATCTACATTAAACTGCGGGTGGAATTTGATTCATCCATAAAGAACAGAGTGGTTGGTGAAAAGGTAGAGTACGTCTCAGATAAACACGGGCACTTTCTTAATCTCAGAAACTATAGAAAGATAAAATGTGTGTTGATGTAAAGTAAATGGGGTCAATTGAGACTGACTTTTAAGCCTGTAAAGAGAGACAACCATCCTAATGTGTTCATAGGAACCAAAGAAACATCATTCTTACAGTGGCGTACTCGGTCAGATGGAGTTGAGCGAAGCGAGCAGGATTGACTCACTTTGGGTCACAGTCGTCCGCTGCCTACTCTCTGTGGAAGGGGACGCTGCACCGCCCCTCGGCCCCGACGCCCTCGGTAACTCCCCCGAAACCCACGGCCTCTCAGATACCGGCCCGGCACCCCAAAGGTCTCCACGTTCAGCTTCCTTTCCTCAGCCCATGTGGTGCGTCTGGGGGAGAAGAAACAAACTCACTGACAAGCAGCGCTCCTGCTAGACAGAAGTCGGACGGGTTATACCTCGACTTGAGCTCGGAGGAGATGTTGTCAAAGAAGCACTTTGCTTTATTGTAGAAGCACTTTGGCCCGAGCAGATCCTCTTTAACTGCGTTCTCAGGCTTTTCCCGCTCTTTATCACTTTCCTCCGGGGTCACTTTTGGCTCTGACAAAGCAAAGACACTTCTAACTAACAGGAATAAAGAATGGTGAATTCTGCAGGGTGGATTTAGAAAAAGAGACGTTCAAGGGCCTGTGCAGGGGAAATACCTTCAACACTGAGCTGGTCTTCAATCTCTTTCTCCACGTCATCTTTATTGAACTGAGCATTTGCCGTTTCAAAATCAAAGTCCGATTCAAACTGCAGGGTGCTGGGCTTTGTGTTCCCTACAAGGATTTGACCTCGACCGCGGTTCCTGGACCTTCGAGTTCCTACAAGAGACCTTATGTTCACAAGGTAGTCTACGTCAACAAACGGTGTCATTAAAGGAACAAACAAGTGTCTTCACCTGGTTTCCTCCTACTGGTTGGAGGCTTGTTCTCGTCATTAGCTTGACTCGGTCCCTTCAAGACGCCTTGCTGTGCAGCTGAATCACCTCAGAGGAAGGAAAACACATTTTTGAAAGTCACGCAAGCAGGTTTCCTAAAGAGCAGGTCAAGTCAACCATCCGTCGCAATACACACCTGCAGCCTCTGGAAATATGTCATGAAGTGGACCAGTGAAGTTCAGAGTTTGTTCAAAGTGTTCAAGTGGGCATGAAGACCACAAGCGTTTTAAGACTAGTTTACTCAAATGGACACTTAACCAGTGCGTGATTGTGGTGCTTCATTTGCAAACATTTTACAAAATGCATATAATCTGAATATAAACACTTAAAAACCAAATCATACGTAAAAGCCAGTTAAATTTAACTTGCACTGGAAAGTTTTCCCAAGGCGGGTCATGAAATCACGTGATGAATGAAGGGACACGCTTAGCCTCAAGTACTGCTCCACAACGCTTTTACAGATAGTCTGGGGTTAGTGTGTGTTAAGTGACTGCAAGTTTGGGTATCACTTCATTTTGCATTGCAGAAGCAAGAGGTTTTCTGTGAATGTGTGACTCCAGATTAATTAGCCGCTATAGGGAAATAACGAGAGCAGTGCAATAAACCGTAAAACTGTGCAAAATCCGTGCGTTTACTACATTTTAATGCATTACGGTAAAACATTAGTTTGCCATATCAAGCAGCATAACAGACTGTTGTAGAACTAAACCGCTGGAAGCGGATGAAACCAGAAGCCGAACGACCACAGTGCTCTCACGTCACAAATAAGGTGGACTGGGACCGGCCCTCAACACTAAAGCCAAGCTCTATTAACACTTCAGCACTGTTTGAGGCCAAGCATATCCCATCAGGAATCACATGCAAGATGTCACAACAATATATAAATATATAAATACCCAGCTGAGAGCTCCGGGTGTGTGTGACGTGTGTGTGAAGGACTCACTGCTGAAGGCTCTCTGCGCTCCTCGACCGCCCCTCTGTGCTCTGCCCGTCTCTCCTGCTCCGCTCAAACCCTTCAGTGGGGCTTTCTCTGCTGGCACAGTCTGAACCGCCTGCTCCACCATAGGACCCCTCCGCACCGGGACGCCATGCAAACCTGAGACACACACACACTAAACCGCCTGCTCCACCATAGGACCCCTCCGCACCGGGACACCATGCAAACCTGAGCCACACACACTCTGAACCGCCTGCTCCACCATAGGACCCCTCCGCACCAGGACCCCATGCAAACCTGAGCCCCACACACACACTCTGAACCGCCTGCTCCACCATAGGACCCCTCCGCACCAGGACACCACGCAAACCTGAGGCCGCTGCATACTGCTGGTTGAGGCACACACACACACTCACCGAGGCCCAGGGCCGCTGCATACTGCTGGTTGAGGCACACACACACACACTCACCGAGGCCCAGGGCCGCTGCGTACTGCTGGTTGAGGAGGGAGCTGGCCGCCAGCTGGCTGTAGGAGGGTAGCATGTTTCGGTAGGGACTGTATCCACCCTGCGACCCGTAGTGAGCGGACGACGTTCCGACTGACGACTAACGAGAGGAAACAATCAGCGCTGCGTCTGAACGAGCTGAGGACACGTGACTGGAGTTACACACACCTGAACGATAGCAGGGTCCTGAGGAAGACTGTGGTGGATCTTCAGAGGCTCACACACCGTGATGTCCTTGATGTCACTTCCCCTGAAGATGATGTACTCGAACACCTCGTCCCTCGGGGGCACGGGCCGGTCCGTCGGTCGCCCCTCGGTGCCGAAAGACCTCACTGACAAACACACACACTGCAGTGAGACGCTGCTGAAGCTAACGTGACCTGCAGGCCTGTCATGAGCTGTGTCTGAAACACTCATCCCTATATAGTGGACAGGGAGCAGTTTCAGACACAGCTAAATAAATAAAACCATGTGGTACAAAACAGTCACGAACACTGGAGCTCAAACCTAACCAGACGTCAACAGAAGCAGTTACAGGACTGGGCCTGCAGTGTTACCGACAGAGTTAGCAAACGATAAAGGAGGTTTTATTACGTTTGATCACTTGCTCAATTAGGTTTTAGCTCGACTGTTCAAAACAGACTGAAAGACTGCAGCGGTTCGAGTTAGTTAATGCAGTGTTTCCCAGCCCTGGTCCTGGAGGAGTAACACCAGTGCAGATTCTGGCTATCTCTTATCTGACCCGAGCTGATTCAGGTGTGAGCGATAATGACGTCTGTGAACATGTGACACGTTCTTATGGTTTAATAACTATTTATTTGATTTAATATTGAAGAGAATGGGCTCAAAATTAGTTTATGTTTTTAAAAGTATGACGACTACATGTTGGACACGTATTAATGAATTTCTTTGAAAATTGATGAACGTTTAGCACTTTGACAGGGGGATTCTGTTAGATGAGCGGTGTGTGTGTGTGTGTGTGTGTGTGTGTGTGTATATCTCCACACTCACCTTTCGCCAGGGCCACGGTCGAGTTATCAGTGTCGATAGTGTATAATATTCCCTCATAACGAATTTGCGCTTTAGAGATCAGACTGATCTTACTGCCGATGTAAGGAGTGCCGCTGCTCATGGTGTCAGAGATAAACACTCCAGCCGATGAAAGAAGACTCAAACACAGACTGAATCAAGCGAACACCTGCAGCATGACGAGCTGTTACTGTAGTTAGAGAGTAGATGCTGGTCAGTGTGATTTATAGAGAGTCTCTCCCCCCGCCCTCGGCTGTCCTGCTGACCTGCCGCACCTGCGCCGCATCTCACACACCGATCACTGATCACACGATCTCACACACCGATCACTGATCACACACCTGCAGAACAATACAGCGCTCTTCGTGGAGAAAAATAAGGGCTGTTTTTTATTTTTATATTACAAAACATCATGTAAAGCCAACTTTATGAGCTTTGAGAAATAAACAGATGTAGGCCTAATAAAAGAATTATAAATATTATTTGATAGTAATTTTTTATAAGTTTATAAATAAACATTACATAATTTTTATAAACTAAATAACGTTCTTTTAAACTATGACATACTTATCTAAAAATTATATATTTTGTACAACAGAAAATTGTATATTAATATAATTGTATCCACATCAACGCTTCACACTCCATTCCAGTAGGTGGCGGAAATGAACAACAGCTGACTTGCTGAAGAAGAAGAGGAAGAAGACTGTCATTTCAGTTCTTTTGCGGCTGTGATTAAGTATTATCAGAGAAAGTCCGTAGACGGGCTTTGGTATTATTAATAATGGTTTATGATTGTTTTATAGAAACCGTTAAGTAGTATTTAGGTTAGATCAAGCACTCATCGTACCTTCAGCTGTTTTTAGCCGCAAACATTCGCAGCGTAACACGTTTCAGATTGGAATAACCTCACCTCTGAAACCCTGGCATGTTGTTTGAGAACAACCTGAAGCTCGTGCGCATGTGCGGCAGGAGTGTGTGTGAAGCGCTGATCCAGCGAGCACACAAACACAAGACAGTCCCGCTGTCGGAGAAGAAGCTAGTGAGTGTGTGTGTGTGTGTGTGTTTAAGAGAGAGAGAGAGAGAGAGAGTGTGTGTGTGTGTGTGTGTGTGTGTGTGTGTGTGTGTGTGTGTGTAAGAGAGAGAGACGGAGTGTGTGTGTGTGTGTAAGAGAGAGAGACGGAGTGTGTGTGTGTAAGTAAGAGAGAGACTGAGTGTGTGTGTGTGTGTGTAAGAGAGAGAGACGGAGTGTATGTGTGTGAGAGAGAGAGAGAGAGAGAGAGAGAGAGAGAGAGAGAGACTTATTCTGTATGTGTGTTTGAGAGAGAGAGAGAGACTGACTGTGAGTGTGTGAGAGAGAGAGACTGACTGTGAGTGTGTGTGAGAGAGAGAGAGACTGACTGTGAGTGTGTGTGTGAGAGAGAGAGAGAGAGAGAGAGAGAGAGAGAGAGAGAGAGAGAGAGAGACAGAGAGAGACTGACTGTGAGTGTGTGAGAGAGAGAGACTGACTGTGAGTGTGTGTGAGAGAGAGAGAGACTGACTGTGAGTGTGTGTGTGAGAGAGAGAGAGAGAGAGAGAGAGAGAGAGAGAGAGAGAGAGAGAGACTGACTGTGTGTGTGAGAAAGAGAGAGAGGGAGAGAGAGAGATAGACTGTGTGTGTGTGTGTGGGTGAGAATGTGAGTGAGAGAGAACACACACATGCCTTATCCAAATACCCACACTTGCGGTCTTCGCACTTGACCACTGTCTACTTGCATGACGTATTTCCTCTATTTCTCCCAAGTGTTCACTTGCAAGTGTGTGTAGAACTTTTTATTACTCGATGGTACACACTTATTTTGTTTATTATATTGTTCAATACTTTGCATTTGAAAATAAACTTCTACATGTGTGTTCAGTAGTCGCCATGTAACTAACAGAAGACACAAATTTAAAATTGTGGTGCTTGTAATTAAGTGATAAAAACATTTGCAAATGTTGTACAAAATAGGCCTACACACACCAAACTCATCTTTGCACCCATAAAATGTGCAACACTTTGTTTTTACTATAAAATGATATGTATCTAATTAATTTAAATTACAGTGGAATGTTTTCCTCGACATCTCACGATTTCGGGGCACATGAGTTCCCGAGCACAATGCATGATGGGATACTCTCCGAAGCGGTGTGGGTAGTGTGGGTTTAGTGTGCATTAAGAGCACTGCACTTTGGCATTTTTAAGACATGGGACAGTCTTGCTCCCTTTCTTCCTGTCGCGTGCACACGCTCTCAAGTGGCCGCAAGTGTGGGTATATTGGACAAGGCAACACACACACACGCTACATCACGCATCTCCCCTGTTCCTCCTCAGAGCCGGTATTTCGTGGACCAGCGCAGGGTGAAGGTCGTGGCGGGACGCGGGGGTGACGGAGCCTCCAGCTTCCACAGTGAGCCCTGGAAAGAGTGGGGGGGTCCAGACGGGGGGGACGGAGGAGCCGGAGGAGACGTCATCATCAGAGGTACGCCACTTAGGGTGTATTCACACCAGGAAAGTCCGATAGTTCACTTGCTTTGGTCCGGACCAAATAATATATATTTTTTTTTTTGGTACGGTTTGCTTTCACACTGCTCTTTTTGCAAGTGAACCAAAATTTGTAAACAAAACCACACGTGTGCTAAGGTCGTCCATTCATTGGACAAGGATTCTCAAGTAGGGAAATCAGGAAGCGCAAAAAAGGCTTAACGTAAATTAACGCAGCATCATCCTTGTATTGTAACTATCGTTACATTATATATAGGCTACAACAGATCACTTTCCCATAACGCAACTCCGACTACGGAAGCCTGTTAACTCAAAGGCGCAGTGCTTTCTTGCAATTGGGTCGGTTCATGTTCACACCGTAAACGAACCGTACCAGAGTTCGTTTGGAACCGTACCGAGACCACCTCTTCAGCTGGGTCTCGGTTCGGTTGTTTGGTCCGCACCCGAGTTCGATTGCTGTATTCACACCTGCCCAAAAGGTCCGCACCAAGGGGGGAAACGAACTAGAGTTCGATTCAATCGAACCAAACAAGGCAGGTGTGAATACACCCTAAAACACTTTGTTTGCTGAACCCTTTGGTCTCAGGTGACGGGCCACTGTAACCTTCAGCCTTCCTTTTGATGGGTAGTAAATGCTGCTCCACCTGAACACCAGAGGGCGTCTCACACACACACACCAAATATGCCCCGCCGCAGAAGTAGACAACGCACGTCAATCCAGGAAATCCCTATCACTGTAGCTGAATAAACAGAAGACTGAATCGCTTTGATTGATTTATTAAATGTTGTCTTTTGTTGGACAAGAGGTTCATTAATGCTTCTCATGTTTGGAAAGATGTTTGACGCGTGTTGTGACTCAAACTCGCAGTGCTTTCCGATGGAGCAGAGTTTACTACTGATCACTGAGCCGTACGTCACGAGCTGCGCATAGAAAATAACCGTAGCCTTTGCGATTTCTAGGGCTGCCCTCGACTAAAGATTTTTGTAGGCAGTAGGCGACTAGTAGTCGTTCATTTAAGCCAATAGTCGAAGTGTTTATATTAACAAGCCATAAATCATAATGTGCCTTTAACTGCCTATAATACGTATAGCCTAATCATCGCACAAATTCAAACAGAAAGCTTGCCACAGCACACCATTAAACGTAATGATTATGAATGTGTTGTGGAAAAAACTGAAGGAAACTGTCTAAACAATTTAATAATTTATTGGTAATGTTTTCTGTGCATCGTTACTTAATCTCTGCAGCCGAAAACAGACTCGTCCTCTCCGCAGTAGTGGACACACAGGTTTCATACCGATGACATAATCAGAGAATATTTAATTTCCATTTGAATCTGTTCATTCAAGTGTAGACATTTCAAACTTTCTATATACACTCACCGGCCACTTTATTAGGTACCCCATGCTAGTAACGGGTTGGACCCCCTTTTGCCTTCAGAACTGCCTCAATTCTTCGTGGCATAGATTCAACAAGGTGCTGGAAGCATTCCTCAGGGAGTTTGGTCCATATTGACATGATGGCATCACACAGTTGCCGCAGATTTGTCGGCTGCACATCCATGATGCGAATCTCCCGTTCCACCACATCCCAAAGATGCTCTATTGGGTTGAGATCTGGTGACTGTGGAGGCCATTTTAGTACAGTGAACTCATTGTCATGTTCAAGAAACCAATTTGAAATGATTAGAGCTTTGTGACATGGTGGAAGTAGCCATCAGAGGATGGGTACATGGTGGCCATAAAGGGATGGACATGGTCAGAAACAATGCTCAGGTAGGCCGTGGCATTTAAACGATGCCCAATTGGCACTAAGGGGCCTAAAGTGTGCCAGGAAAACATCCCCCACACCATTACACCACCACCACCAGCCTGCACAGTGGTAACAAGGCATGATGGTTCCATGTTCTCATTCTGTTTACGCCAAATTCTGACTCTAACATCTGAATGTCTCAACAGAAATCGAGACTCATCAGACCAGGCAACATTTTTCCAGTCTTCAACTGTTCAATTTTGGTGAGCTCTTGCAAATTGTAGCCTCTTTTTCCTATTTGTAGTGGAGATGAGTGGTACCCGGTGGAGTCTTCTGCTGTTGTAGCCCATCCGCCTCAAGGTTGTGCGTGTTGTGGCTTCACAAATGCTTTGCTGCATACCTCGGTTGTAACGAGCGGTTATTTCAGTCACTGTTGCCCTTCTATCAGCTCGAACCAGTCTGGCCATTCTCCTCTGACCTCTGGCATCAACAAGGCATTTCCGCCCACAGAACTGCCGCTCACTGGATGTTTTTTCTTTTTCGGACCATTCTCTGTAAACCCTAGAGATGGTTGTGCGTGAAAATCCCAGTAGATTAGCAGTTTCTGAAATACTCAGACCAGCCCTTCTGGCACCAACAATCATGCCACGTTCAAAGTCACTCAAATCAACTTTCTTCCCCATACTGATGCTCGGTTTGAACTGCAGGAGATTGTCTTGACCATGTCTACATGCCTAAATGCACTGAGTTGCCGCCATGTGATTGGCTGCTTAGAAATTAAGTGTTAACGAGCAGTTGGACAGGTGTACCTAATAAAGTGGCCGGTGAGTGTGTATATATATATATATAATGTAGGGATGGGCGATATGGACTTAAAAATATATCACGATATTTTCTGCCATTTATTGCGATAACGATATCAATGACGATATAAATACAATACCATATTCACCACTGTTTTTGGCTACAAGTGATAGCTGCATGCAAAGTAAAATGTACCCTTCACCAAATAGGCTCCTATAAAATACCAATTACCATACATAAAATAATAATCAAAAAACAGTAAAACAGTAAACACCATCCCTTGCAGAAATGGAAAAGTTGCATACGTTTCTTCTGTAAAAGTGCAGATAATGTTTAAATAGTGCAACTATACTGAAAAACATCACACAGTAATAATTCAAATAATTTACAAGTTTGAAATATAAAAAATCTAACAACGAATAGTTATACTAATACTACTACGAATTCTGATACTAATAACAATATAAACCACACTAAGGATTGATGAGCTGCTGGGTTCATGAATATCATCACGTCTGCGTTTGCGCATTAGTTTCTGCTTGCTCAAAGCTGAATAATTCCAAATGAACTCCATTATTTTTACAGGAAAATACAACAAATAATATAATTTACATGTAGACGTCATGTACACTTCAATTCTGCGTGGTATGTAAGACTCTCTCTCTCTCATCGAGTGCGTGAGAAACACGGAGCGCTCTCAGCAGTGACAGCACGTCATGCGCCTCAGTGTTTACTGCGCGTCAAATACACTGTGTATTCATTGAGATGAACTGATATAGTGGGCTTTACGGATCACTTGACGGAGAGCGACACTCTCAAGCGCTCAGTCAGTGTTCGGCGAGATGGGCGGATGAAAATCTGTGTGTACCAGTTCCAGATTGTAGAGGTAGTTACTCGTTTAGCGATAAACTTCACCTCAGCTCCACGTCCGCCTTCCGCCATGCGCGTGAGCTGCGAATGCGTCCCGTCATAGGCTTTATCGTTATTATCGCGGGAAGACTAATTCTTATCGTGAGGAAAAATTTTAACGATATATCGCAAACGATAATATATCGCCCATCCCTAATATAATGTATATATATATATATATATATCATGTCTGTGAGGCAAGTATATGTTTCAAGTGATAAGCCATATTTGAGGTCGTTAAATGATAGACGAATGTTTGGATTTCCTGCCGTTAACGATCCGTCCGTTACAGCCTGCGTGATTTCGACACTTTTTAAAGTTTTTTTTTTTCTGCGACTAAACGACTAATAAAATGTTGGTCGACTAAGTCTTTCTTTAATTGTGATTAATTGTGCAGCCCTAGTCTTTCCTAATTAAATTTGGCACTGATTTACTCTAATCAATGTGTAGAAGAATCTCAGTGACAATCCCGAGAAATGGGGTGCGTCTGAACAAAACTTCTGAATGCCGTAGCAAAAGGTTTGAATACTCCTTCACTCTCATTCGCAGTGGACCGGCAGGTGAAGTCACTGTCCTCTGTGTCAACAGTGTACCGTGGGAAAGACGGAGTGGCAGGAAGCAGTAAAAACTGCTACGGACGCAATGGCAGACCCACCTACATCTCAGTGAGTTTCCCTCCCTAACACACGCACGGTTAACGAGCAGCTCTAGTCACGTGACTGTTCCCTGCAGGGGGTAACGAGCAGCTCTAGTCACGTGACTGTTCCCTGCAGGGGGTAACGAGCAGCTCTAGTCACGTGACTGTTCACCGCAGGGGTTAACGAGCAGCTCTAGTCACGTGACTCTGTTCACCGCAGGGGGTAACGAGCAGCTCTAGTCACGTGACTCTGTTCACCGCAGGGGGTAACGAGCAGCTCTAGTCACGTGACTCTGTTCACCGCAGGGGTTTACGAGCAGCTCTAGTCACGTGACTCTGTTCACCGCAGGGGTTAACGAGCAGCTCTAGTCACGTGACTCTGTTCACCGCAGGGGTTTACGAGCAGCTCTAGTCACGTGACTCTGTTCACCGCAGGGGGTAACGAGCAGCTCTAGTCACGTGACTCTGTTCACCGCAGGGGTTAACGAGCAGCTCTAGTCACGTGACTCTGTTCACCGCAGGGGTTAACGAGCAGCTCTAGTCACGTGACTCTGTTCACCGCAGGGGTTAACGAGCAGCTCTAGTCACGTGACTCTGTTCACCGCAGGGTTAACGAGCAGCTCTAGTCACGTGACTCTGTTCACCGCAGGGGTTAACGAGCAGCTCTAGTCACGTGACTGTTCACCGCAGGGGTTAACGAGCAGCTCTAGTCACGTGACTCTGTTCACCGCAGGGGGTAACGAGCAGCTCTAGTCACGTGACTCTGTTCACCGCAGGGGGTAACGAGCAGCTCTAGTCACGTGACTGTTCACCGCAGGGGTTAACGAGCAGCTCTAGTCACGTGACTCTGTTCACCGCAGGGGTTAACGAGCAGCTCTAGTCACGTGACTGTTCACCGCAGGGGTTAACGAGCAGCTCTAGTCACGTGACTCTGTTCCCCGCAGGGGTTAACGAGCAGCTCTAGTCATGTGACTCTGTTCACCGCAGGGGTTAACGAGCAGCTCTAGTCAAGTGACTGTTCACCGCAGGGGTTAACGAGCAGCTCTAGTCACGTGACTCTGTTCACCGCAGGGGTTAACGAGCAGCTCTAGTCACGTGACTGTTCACCGCAGGGGTTAACGAGCAGCTCTAGTCACGTGACTCTGTTCCCCGCAGGGGTTAACGAGCAGCTCTAGTCATGTGACTCTGTTCCCCGCAGGGGTTAACGAGCAGCTCTAGTCACGTGACTGTTCACCGCAGGGGTTAACGAGCAGCTCTAGTCACGTGACTCTGTTCACCGCAGGGGTTAACGAGCAGCTCTAGTCACGTGACTGTTCACCGCAGGGGTTAACGAGCAGCTCTAGTCACGTGACTCTGTTCCCCGCAGGGGTTAACGAGCAGCTCTAGTCACGTGACTGTTCACCGCAGGGGTTAACGAGCAGCTCTAGTCACGTGACTCTGTTCACCGCAGGGGTTAACGAGCAGCTCTAGTCACGTGACTCTGTTCACCGCAGGGGTTAACGAGCAGCTCTAGTCACGTGACTATGTTCCCCGCAGGGGTTAACGAGCAGCTCTAGTCACGTGACTCTGTTCACCGCAGGGGTTAACGAGCAGCTCTAGTCACGTGACTCTGTTCACCGCAGGGGTTAACGAGCAGCTCTAGTCACGTGACTCTGTTCACCGCAGGGGTTAACGAGCAGCTCTAGTCACGTGACTCTGTTCACCGCAGGGTTAACGAGCAGCTCTAGTCACGTGACTCTGTTCACCGCAGGGGTTAACGAGCAGCTCTAGTCACGTGACTCTGTTCCCCGCAGGGGTAACGAGCAGCTCTAGTCACGTGACTCTGTTCACCGCAGGGGTTAACGAGCAGCTCTAGTCACGTGACTCTGTTCACCGCAGGGGTAACGAGCAGCTCTAGTCACGTGACTCTGTTCACCGCAGGGGTTAACGAGCAGCTCTAGTCACGTGACTCTGTTCACCGCAGGGGTTAACGAGCAGCTCTAGTCACGTGACTGTGTTCACCGCAGGGGTTAACGAGCAGCTCTAGTCACGTGACTCTGTTCACCGCAGGGGTTAACGAGCAGCTCTAGTCACGTGACTATGTTCCCCGCAGGGTTGACGAGCAGCTCTAGTCACGTGACTCTGTTCACCGCAGGGGTTAACGAGCAGCTCTAGTCACGTGACTCTGTTCCCCGGAGGGTTGACGAGCAGCTCTAGTCACGTGACTGTTCACTGCAGGGTTAACGAGCAGCTCTAGTCATTTTGGTGTGTTCGACATCGGCTGCGGCTGGATGTAAGCGATAGGCGAGAGTAGCCGCGTGCAGGCGGGGAGGAGCTGCAAACGGAGACGTGAAGTCGGACACTTTCTGGTTCCTGTAGTGACCGCTCACTTGGTGTTTGTATACTTTAGCACAGCTGAAGTGAAATAAATGCAATATTTGCCAAATACACAGATGTTTCAGAGACATTTTCATTCAATACTTTATGTAGCTGCTACTGCTTCATACAGCGTTTGTTTGAACAAGAATAAAGTTTAACATAAGCCTACAGCTACTATCAATGAAGTGGAATCAACTTTTTTAATCAGTTTTATTTTGATAAACATAACACTATACATCGCGACTACATGAAAAGAGTGTTTACTGTTATAAAAAAAACTGATTTGTGAGCTTTAGTGGAACTAAAGGTGTGAGAATAAACACGAAACGCACGTGATCGTTGTCATGCGGTGAATCCGGCCAATCGTGGAACAGCTGTGTCGTCATCAGAGCTCGTGCAGCCCAGAGCAGCCGCTCTTCAAAAGCTGCGCTGGCTGAGTTCTCCGGCTACTCTCGATTCTCTCTCGCGGTACTTTGATGGCATACGTCACAGTCACGTGGCGTCGGCGCTGTATCAAGTCGGACAACATTTCTAACCGGCATGCACTGCTTCAAGTCTGCCGCCGATCGGTCTGCGCAGAGCTGCATGAAGTCGAACAAGCCTATTTGACTCTATTCACCGCAGGGGTTAACGAGCAGCTCTAGTCACGTGACTCTGTTCACCGCAGGGGTTAACGAGCAGCTCTAGTCACGTGACTGTTCACCGCAGGGGTTAACGAGCAGCTCTAGTCACGTGACTGTTCACCGCAGGGGTTAACGAGCAGCTCTAGTCACGTGACTCTGTTCACCGCAGGGGTTAACGAGCAGCTCTAGTCACGTGACTCTGTTCACTGCAGGGTTAACGAGCAGCTCTAGTCACGTGACTCTGTTCCCCGCAGGGGTAACGAGCAGCTCTAGTCATGTGACATTGTTCACTGCAGGGGTTAACGAGCAGCTCTAGTCACGTGACTCTGTTCCCCGCAGGGGTTAACGAGCAGCTCTAGTCACGTGACTATGTTCCCCGCAGGGGTTAACGAGCAGCTCTAGTCACGTGACTCTGTTCACCGCAGGGGTTAACGAGCAGCTCTAGTCACGTGACTCTGTTCACTGCAGGGTTAACGAGCAGCTCTAGTCACGTGACTCTGTTCACCGCAGGGGTTAACGAGCAGCTCTAGTCACGCGACTCTGTTCCTCGCAGGGGTTAACGAGCAGCTCCAGTCACGCGACTCTGTTCCCCGCAGGGGTTAACGAGCAGCTCTAGTCACGTGACTATGTTACCCGCAGGGGTTAACTAGCAGCTCTAGTCACGTGACTCTGTTCACCGCAGGGGTTAACGAGCAGCTCTAGTCAAGTGACTCTGTTCACCGCAGGGGTTAACGAGCAGCTCCAGTCACGCGACTCTGTTCCCCGCAGGGGTTAACGAGCAGCTCTAGTCACGTGACTATGTTACCCGCAGGGGTTAACTAGCAGCTCTAGTCACGTGACTCTGTTCACCGCAGGGGTTAACGAGCAGCTCTAGTCACGTGACTGTTCACCGCAGGGGTTAACGAGCAGCTCTAGTCACGTGACTATGTTCCCCGCAAGGGTTAACGAGCAGCTCTAGTCACGTGACTCTGTTCACCGCAGGGGTTAACGAGCTGCTCTAGTCACGTGACTATGTTACCCGCAGGGGTTAACGAGCAGCTCTAGTCACGTGACTCTGTTCACCGCAGGGGTTAACGAGCAGCTCTAGTCACGTGACTATGTTCCCCGCAGGGTTAACGAGCAGCTCTAATCACGTGACTCTGTTCACCGCAGGGTTAACGAGCAGCTCTAGTCACGTGACACTGTTCCCCGCAGGGTTAACGAGCAGCTCTAGTCACGTGACTGTTCACCGCAGGGTTAACGAGCAGCTCTAGTCACGTGACTCTGTTCACCGCAGGGGTTAACGAGCAGCTCTAGTCACGTGACTGTTCACCGCAGGGTTAACGAGCAGCTCTAGTCACGTGACTGTTACCCGCAGGGGTTAACGAGCAGCTCTAGTCACGTGACTATGTTACCCGCAGGGGTTAACGAGCAGCTCTAGTCACGTAACTCTGTTCACCGCAGGGGTTAACGAGCAGCTCTAGTCACGTGACTCTGTTACCCGCAGGGGTTAACGAGCAGCTCTAGTCACGTGACTCTGTTCACCGCAGGGGTTAACGAGCAGCTCTAGTCATGTGACTCTGTTCACCGCAGGGGTTAACGAGCAGCTCTAGTCACGTGACTCTGTTCACCGCAGGGGTTAACGAGCAGCTCTAGTCACGTGACTGTTCACCGCAGGGGTTAACGAGCAGCTCTAGTCACGTGACTCTGTTCCCCGCAGGGGTTAACGAGCAGCTCTAGTCACGTGACTATGTTACCCGCAGGG